GCACTAGGCAGATACTGACTTCTATAATCTATATGCTCCACCTACCTATATTTACTTAGATACTTTGTTTCTTGATTCTGTTTTCACGGGTACTCGGGTAAAAATCATTCAGATCAAAAACAAATTCATAGTTAAAATATTCACTGCGATATTTGTAATTCATTTTTGATATTGTGTTTCCAATGATTTGGAACAAACCAATTATTTGTGCCATATTAAACGAAAAATTAGATTTTTTCAACCTTGACACATCGCACATTTTTTTTTTTTTTTTAAGGCAGAATAAATGTATGTTTTCTTTTTGTCCAATCACAATGAATAATTGTTTAATCGTATTAAAATATGATGAAGAATTAGATATAGAATGATACGAATAAACAATATTAAAAATGTATTATTGATCCCAAAAAACAACGTAAGTTTTGTATAGGATATCGAAGGAATATAGTCCAAAATTTACATATTTAATGTTTTATTTGACATCGTAAATCGTAATATTAACGTGGAAATTAGTACCTATATTGTTATTGCCACGATTTCAAACTATATTTCACTAAAAAACAGTACCTACCGGAACATGTACCGCTATCTATTAAACCTAATTCTGCATAAAAGACAGACCGTTACGCAGAAACGAATTATAACAGATGGCGTTGTCGGCGTTGTAAAACTGACTCACCAATAAAATCCAAACGAGAACATAGATGGCGATAAGACCCGATTTCTCAAAATAATATAGATTACACAACGCACATTACAACAATAATTATAACACTGCGCTACACTCGTTGAGTAATCCCTATGACTACGCTTCTATATTGCGAAGTAGAATTACTTTATTGTGTGGTATTATATTCACAATTCAGGTGGATACTATACTCGTACATAATATCGTGTAGAAAAAATAATATTCTTTAACATGATTGGAAATGGCCGAATGCCCGAATCACATGATCGGCTGAACTCAATATAATTATCCGAGTTCAGAGGCGTACCCGGGTTGTTTTTCATCGGACCCCGTACACGTTGTAGACTAAACACGGTAAATTAAAGTTATACGATGAATAACTTTCGTGATTGTGCAAGCAAAATATATCCGCGTGTATTACATTAAGCTTTTTCCTCGCGGCCTTTTTAGTAAACTATATTATTCTGTAGTTAGGGGTGGTTAGGTATTACACAATAATGTGTACCACACTGTAATACACAATGTGCAATTTCAGATTCCGAGGAGTGGAGCGCAGTGGCTCGTGTTTTCTCGCAACGCTATACTTACCGGCTACGAATCGGTCCTCGTAGGCCGTCACCCGTGCGAACGCGTTGTAGAAATACGCCAGATGAGACGACGCAATGACGAGGCGATTTCTCGGAGTCGTGATATCGGTCGGCGTGCGATCTTACGGTAAACTGAATTTTTTTTTGGGGGGAAAAAAAACAAGAAAAAAAAAAAATGTAGAAAAACATCATCGACACCGTCAACCGCCGACGGCAGCAGCGTACGTTTTTTTTTTTCTTTTTTCCACGCGAGATTATTTCCGCGAGTGCCGTTTTCCGCCAATGCGTCCGCCGCGTTTCGATTAACGGACAAACGTGACGCGACACGGTTCGGTTTCGTCCGGACGGTCGCGCCGCGGAGTAAGACGCTGCGGGTTACTACGCGTCGCAACGCGCGCGAACCGACGTAATGTAACGGGGTACAAAATCCGTACGCGGAGCACGTGGTTTCGGGGAGGGGGGGGGTGCACGGGCTCCGCTGCACGCCGGTGTCCCCGAGTTATCATTGTCGGGCGAAAATAACGAACGGCCGCGGCGGCTGCGCGCGAGCAGGTTCGCGGAACGGTATTCGCGGGGGTTTTTTTTTGTTTTCGTTTTTCGTTTTTCGGATCACTCGCCCGTGTAAAAAATTACACGAAAACGTCTGTCGAGTGGCACGGCGGACAAACGACCCCCGATAGCAAAAACGCCAAAAAAAAAAAAAGAAAAGAACACTGTGCGAAATTTTTTTCTCCGCGCATTTCACGGGCAATATTTATTATTTTTTTTTTTCTCAAGCGGTTCTGCACGCGCATAACCGAGCAGTGAGTACGGTGAGTCGCCGGGGCAGCTGCAGCAGTCGCCGGCGTTTGATGTGCGGCGGCGAAGGGAACGGGATAGGAGGGGCGGGGGGGGTAGGGGAAATGAAAACCCCCGTCGTAATGCGATGTTACGTGACATAGAGGCACTCGAGAAATCCGCGGGACCTCGAACCACCTAATCAACCGTCTCGCACGACGACAACAATAACAACGAATAATAATAGGTAACGATAACAAAACGGCGCAGCGGCGCCGGGTCGCGGGGTCGACCGCGCCGCCCGGCGACGACCAGTTGAAAAAGCCAATTAAACGCGTACGGAACGCGAGCGCCGGAAAGGTACGGGGGAGAGATAAAAAAAAAAAAAAAAAAAAAAAAAAAAAAAAGAAGAAAAACGATCCTCGAAAAACCGCCCCGTCACGTCTCGCGCATTGTGCGCGTCGACGAGTGCCTCGCCGCACGCCGCCCTCGTGACGATCGTCGGGCGGCTCGCGGTTTTCGCACCGATCGCGTACTGCGTGCGCTCGTATACGCGACGGCGTGCCCGCGAACAGCGCGCTCACGCCGCGTCGTCTCATCCGTCCGGTGTTCTTTTTACGCGCGCGTCGGTCCACGCGCGCGTTCTCTTCCTACTCGCCGCGCGATCCGGCGTTCGTCGTGCCGCAAGAACGCGCGCGCTCGATTCGCGGTTCCCTCCGCGCACGTTTGCGTTTTTTTTTTTTTTTAATACGTATGGCAGAGCGCGTCCGTCAGATGGGTTGCCCCGAAAAGGGCAGTTTTCACCGACCTGGCCGGGAGGGGTTTTACAACGTTCCGCGGCCGGTTTTGATGCTGTTCGGTTTCGTGTCGTTTTCGTATCGGATAATCTCGTGTGGCGAAACGCAGAGATATCGAGAGGATCTAAAAAACAACAGTACTTACGGCGGGGGCCGCGGGAAGGTACAGCATCTCCCCTCCCCCCACGTTCGCTCCTCGCATACCGCGCGGTCGTTATCGCCCCATGCGACTTTTGCGTCGGTTTCTGAACGCCGCGCCGTCCTTCCACGGTGGCGGCGACCGCGGCGATTCCTGTCGCGGACGCGGCGGTCCGGCCGTTTCGCGTTCGTCTCGGGCGGTCCGGAGTTCCACGCGCGGCCGCGTGTCGACCGCAGTCTCGGTCCCGCACAAAAAACAGATTTTTCCAGACATTTCGAAACGCCGTTTATTTGAATCAACCGTATCGAAAATACAGAACGGATAAAATCACGTCGTCCGCGCACGATTTGAAATAATATTAGAAAGTTGCCATTCGGCCGTTGGCCTACGGTGTACTATGCCTTAGGTCTATCGGACCGAATTAGAAATCTCGGCGATTCGTCGCTGCATGTGGACCAGTATTTTGATATTTTTATTTTTTACGAGAGCCGTAAACACACGCCCATGGTTCAACTGTACAAAACGGACAAATCATCGACAGTAGAAATGTCATTGTACCTATATTAAATTGTGTCTTTTTGTTGTAAATTAGTTAAAAACATTCGCAGATCTGAAATTTTCACAGAATACTATTAATGGGTTTTTTTTTTCATAAGTAGATAGTAAAACGTTTAAAACATTAAATGTGTACATGAGAAATTGCTGAGATATTTTTATTTGATTTGCCGCGGATAAAACGGTTTTGGCCGTATAGACATTTTTGACAGTTTTACTTGAGATTCATCGTAAATTGTATAATTTGGTCGTGAAAAAAAAAAGAAACAACAATTTCAGCGCGATATAGTTATTGTCTTCTTCTACAAGCATTTGCAGTCCAAATCCCGGAATTTAAAATAATTTTAACCGAACTTAACCCAGAATCGTATTTTCTGAGCAATGATTTATCGCTGCGTACAGTTATAAATTAAATTAATTTATTTATGTTCTCCCTTCTCAACTTCCCCCACATATAACAGTGGCACACCTGTCGGCAGAACTAACTTTTTTTTTCTCGCATTTATAAGTTAGCATTGCCATAGCGAACGCAAAATTGAACTTAGAAAAACTAGATAAGTAAGTAAGATAGTGGAAAAGGATATTGATAACAATAATAATCAATTATAGCGAATGCGATTATAGCGTGCTGCATAATTATAGCTACTTTTCGATGAACTTTGAATAATTATTAAAAATCATGAATTATATTAAAATATAAAGTTGAAACGTCAAAAGTTCACACGCATCCCTCCCCCCCCCAAAAAAATGTATTTTTTAAAAATACGTACCGCGGACGCGATCCGATCGCGCTCGACGGTCTACCGAGGTGGCTGTCTTAATAAAAATAATATATAGTTGTAGTAGAAAGAGTAAACACCCATCAGCAGTGTTTAGGTAAGGAGAAGTTTTAACGGGTAATCGGTAAAAAAAAAATAAAACAAGGAAAATAGAACACTGAAAAAAAGAATAACAATTTTAAATATATTAATCAATTACGAAAATTTAAAAAAATGTTTATTTAACATTTAATTTTTAAAAATAATGAAATATAAAAAGCATATTACTCATGAAAAATGTTGGTTTTTTAACGTGGTATAATTCAAAACGACTTCGTTATTTATCAAGTTAGTGTAGAGAAAAAACAGGTAAATACAAATCATCGACTAATTTACGCTAAAATTTACTTTGTAAATAAATAAATGGATATTTTTTTTTTTTTTTAATTAGAACCTACAGCAGAGGAGGATCTGTTTGCACAATACTACTCCTCTGCTGCCATCGTTTATTGATGAATAACGTTAAAACATATAATCACAATTCTTAACATCAAATATAAATATTACAACACCTAATGCTACAACATAAATGTCCCATAGATAAATGATGACGATCCCGTTTATCGATCCTATTCTCGGCCCGGTGTCGCGCGCACCCGCAGACCTGGCATCCCGTTCTGCTGTTTTGACGGAAGGAGTTCAGACGTTTAGAGCAGCTCTTGCTTCGGCCTCAGCTAGCCTCTCATCTTGCTCTTTGCAGCTAAAAATGTCTTCGACCATTTCATAAAAAGCTTGCGTGGCGCGTTGAGAGGCAACCATTATTCGCTCGCTCATGCAAATCGGGACGTCAGAGGGACCACACAACATGTCCTGTACATCACTTGGAGTAATGTTTCGGCTACCTACGAACTTGTTCACTACTAGCCGTATTGGTTTCCAATGAGCGCAGTAAAAAATAGTGTGTTCTGCAGTATCCGTCGGATGCTGGCAGTAGAGGCAAGCTGCATCAGGGGCGCGATTCCTCCGGTGCAAATAGTCCCTGAAGCACCCATGTCCCGTGAGAACCTGTGTAACGTGGAACGTGAGATCTTTGGGACGTCTTCTCACCCATCTTATCAGATCCGGGAGGATCTTACGCGTCCAGGCTCTGTTCCTACCGTCCCTCCACCTGATGGGCCAGGCTGCGAGCAGGATGCCACGCTCCTCTTCCCGGATCTCATTCTTAGAGCCCACTCTATCTGGGTCAACCATTTTGCCCCGGATTCTTTTGCGTTCCAAAGCGAGAAGATCGCCCGGAGGGGTGCCTGCCAGGAATAAAGCTGCTTCAGCAGAGACGGTGCGGTACGCCCTCGTCACTCTTGGGCCGCCAACCTTTGAGGCCGTGTCATAAGGTTCCGACAAATAGCGTACTTTGTTGCTCTATCTGCCCATATCGATGAGGCATACAGCAGCCTTCTGTTAACTACAGACATTAGCAGCGCTCTCTTGGATTGGGAGGGCCCTCCAAGGTTAGGCATAAGTCGCCCTATAGCCAAAGCTGCCTTGGACGCCTTACCCGAGACGGTCCTATAGTGTCCACTAAAGGTTAAGTGAGGATCAAGATGAAGTCCTAAGTATCGCACCTTCTTTAGTAAAGGAACTGAGTGCCCCCTCCCCTACTAACAGTACTGGATCCTGGTACGCCCACTTCTTTGTCAACATGATGGCCTCCGTCTTGTGTCGTGCTAGCCGAAGTCCATGGTCTCCCATCCAGGCGTCGATAGCATCTAACGCGGGGTTCACCACACCAGCCAGAGCATCTGATGTATGTGCAGCTGCAAGTATTGCTAAATCGTCGGCGAACCCGACAAGCTGCACCCCTTACGGTACTTCCATCCTGAGGACGTCATCATAGAAGACGTTCCACAGTGTGGGACCAAGGACCGATCGCTGCGGGACACCTCCGGTGGCCTGATGGTGCTCGTACCATCAGCTGACCTTATAGTAATTTTACGGCTTTCCATGTATGACCGTAGAATCTTAACTAGGTAATGAGGAACCCCTCTCCGTTGAATAAATGGATATTGACTCGCTAACGTCCGGCTTTGCAAATTTCGTATACGTACACCAATTCCAATATTTCGGTAGGAACATGAGGAAATGTGCAAGTGGCATTCTCGACATTTCCGAGTCTCGCATGCAACGAGCTCGCACGCATAATAATAATATTGATAATCTGTTATAAACTTTACTCGGGATCCGCTTTTCCAGTTTTTCCATATTTTTGTGTTTTTTTTTTCTTTTAACGTTTCGACAGTTCCGACGGTCTCTAAAAATGAAAATATTCGTTTAAACGTTCATTACCGACAGGGTTCCCCGTCTATACGAGCGATCCATACCCCTTGGGTCGGAAATCATTATTATATTCGTCTTTTCGCCATCGCCGGTCGAGTCGGGTCGGCTACCATACCTGTATATAGTATCGTCTGCTCTTACGCGCCGCAGCCTCCGCGTTCCCCTACATTATATTATTATCCATCGGCATTTCGCGTTATAATATTTTAATACAATAATATAATATCGGACCGACAAAAATTCGTTCCCGCCCTGCGCGGTTAGGTATGCTCTCCATTCCGCGGTGGCCGCGTTGCCGGGGACAAAAAAAAAAAAACCCGAATAATTAAAGCGCCGAATACCTCATCTGTATAATAATATTATAATATACCGTTTTCTTATATCCGATAAACAGAATTATAATAATATAATCCCCTCCCCCCTCCCACCGCCGGTATTCTCGCGTCGGCCCGACCGCTCCCTCGCGTCCGTTCCGCCGGTAAACCCGTCACCGGGGCGAACCGTTCTTTTTGTCTTGCGCCGTTCTTTTCATTCGACCGCCACCGCCGCCGAGGGTGTCGGTTTTCAATTGAATAATTCAGTTCATTTATTATTCATTAAAAACCCTTAAACGCTCGCCCGTACATCGCCGTCGCAGTACCCGTCGTCCGCCGCCCGCGCGCACGGCGGGGACGAACGGGCGCGCCGACAACGCCGTACGGTTCCGCGAGCAAACGAAGTTACCGGCGCGCGCGCCGTCGCGGGCGTCCGCGGCGACAATTTGCGCGCCCCCGAGTACGCGAAAATTGCGTTTGGGTAACGCAATAAACGTACACGCGCGCGCGCGCGCGCTCGCAATACGTACGCCCGCAATCGATAATGTCGGTACGCGCCGTGTGATACATACCCGCGTTAAACGTCCGTGCGTTTTTCGTCGGATTCAAGACTGTTGCGCGGCGATAGATTTTTACGCGCGTGTATGCATTTGCCGGGTATATACTTATATTCGGCACCTCCGACGGCTGGCCTGTGGACCGCAGCACGGGAATAAGAATTTTTTTTTTTTTTTATAGGCGCGTTTTAGTGATAGCATTTTTGTTGAATCTGATTACGAACTTCGCTGTGTTGTCGCGGGTAGACCGAATAGGGCGGTTTTTTTTTCTTTTTTTTTTTTTTTAGCTTTTCACACCCTTAAAGAGCCCCCGCCCAAACGAATGGATGATGCGATTTCGGAATCTAAAATTTATTATTACGTCATTGATCTATGCGTCTCTTGTACTCCGCAGGATCTACTTTGAAATTGTTAGGTACTTTACATTATATACTTAGTGATTATTTGTTTTGAACGGGTTTTGAACGAGCGATAAGGGGTGTTATTTATATAGATACGAAATATAGGTGTTTTTCTTTTCCCTTTAGACTTTGAGCGCAACGAGGAAGATAATCGTTTTACTATTTGTGCTTTATTTATGTCTCTAAACAACTTTTCTCTATCAAAAATCCAATTAGATTTTCTAGTTTAATATCTTTTCTGAAAGGAAATTTTGTTTGATTGGTGTTTTGCGAGATCATTTAACGATTTAGTTTTCTTAATATTTAGTGAAAAATTTATTAAAAAAATGCCATACAAATATTCACAGAATAGCAATAGCCGTTCCGTTTTACTAGATTTTGTTTTTTTTTTTTTTTTTTATTGTAATTTGGTTAAAAATAATCATAAAGTCTTAAAATGTTTACGAAATACAAACATTGTTATAACTTTTTTGACAGTACAATTTTAAAAATAATTCGATTTCAAACTATTTATAGGAATTTGAAACTGTGGAGTTTTTTCATATATGATTTCTCCTTTTTGAATATTCCGAAAATATTTTCATAATTCTTCGTAACCTTAAATTTTACCAACAATTTTAGAATTTATATTACCTTGAAGTTTCCCAGAGAAAAACGATTTTCCACGACGAGGTATCGGAGAAACGTTACCCCAGCAGTCAGCACCACCACTCCGTCCGAATGAGATTTTCCGAAATAAATACGATTTGCTCAGTTAGACAATTTAATTGCAGAGAATAATTGTGTGTTCTTTTATTTGAAGTCGTTTATATTAATATATCAGCTTTGTATACAGATATCGATAATAATTGTCGGAATATTATTTTATTTTTTTTTATGTCAGCGATTACCTACGTAAATATTATGTGTAATTTTTATAAAGATCCAAAATCGAAAACCGTAAACACGATAAAGCAAACTGTACATTGGTATAATACAAAATACACAATGTAGATAATAATAACACAGTGTACTTTTGGTGCGTAAGTAGTGTAGCGTAGGCTACTGCGGTAGCGATTGGTCGGTTCGTCGGCGGGAGGGCCGGTAATCCCGGTGTTCGTTTTCGCATATAGGTACTGTATTGCGCCGCGGGGGGAAAATTTATTATGATGGGGAGTTATTGGCCCGAGGAAAAATAAAAGGCCGGTTTTCAGATCACCGCGAAAGGGTATGAAATATTGTCATCGCGCGTGGTTGTAACAATATTTACGTGGCGGCGGTCCGTTTTCCAGTCCAGAGGGCCCGCGGTGTACCCTATGTACGTAAACACACCGCTGCGAAACAATATTTTCGTACCGCGGGACCGATCGAACAAAACCCGATGTAAATCCGAAAATAATAATAAGACTTATACTTACTATAATGCGACGATCGTCGGCTATGTTTGGCTTGTAATACGCGTGTGTACCCGTAATACTGTGTACAGTGTCGTGAAAAGAAATTGTTTCCGGGACACGAGTTTTCACCGGCGGGGGGGCGCTACTGCGCGGCCCCGCCGTCGTTTCTCGCCTATATGATATACCCGCAGTAATACGCTAAATTCCTCCATTATCTACCGACGCGGCTTTGTGGTTTCGCCGCGATCGATTATACTTGTTTTCTCTGCTGAAAATTTAAGACCGAAAGAAATAACAACGGTCTCCACGTCCGAGAACACTATAATAATAATAGTATAATGCCGCCGGCCACCGCAGTACGACACCCACGCGGTGTCGCGAAACGCCCGACGATCACAGCGATAATATCACGGTGAGATTGGCATAACGTGTTCTAGCGATGTAATATAATTTAGTAGGCGAAACATTCGCCCCCGAAATAGTTGTATAAATGTCGATTTTCATAATATTTGTCACCTGAGCACGTAAAGGTTCTGAGTGGACGTTTAAAAATTGTCCGGGAGATGCATTTTGAACGACCAACAATAAATTGTGCTCTTTAATTGAAATCGATCAAACCAATAATTCTGTATTGATAGATGAATTATAAGTGTCAGATGTAGAACCTTTTAAAAGTAAGCACTACAGAGAACATTTTCAAAACGACTGTTTTCTTCGAGGTCTCTAATTTACTCCCTTAAATATGCCACTGTGTCAAGAGTATGCACCGGCATGCCCTAAAAGTCCTCAAATAGTCACTTCTTCCTCCACGTTAATTTGAAATATCCGACTGATTGCCTCAGATTCATCTCTTCTGGTCGTATTCTCGAACCGTCTCAGTCTCTATTATATCTTAACTTGTATCAAATAGCAAAACAACGTTTTTACATGTACAAATTCATTCCTAATTCTTTTCACTCGTAGTCTTTCTAGGTAAACAGCATTGTCATCTCGGCTAAGTTCATTTTTTGCCTTATCGTTCTGTTCGCTGATTGTATCGAATTAAATCATTTTTGTATTCGATCCGTTTCGAACGGACGATATTTCAGTTATGACACGTTATATTAGGCGCACGAGCGTCACAAGCTAGACATTCACGTTTTAATATTATTATTATTATTATTATTTTTTTTTTTTGTTAATATTTTCGACACACTATAGTGAGTTTAATATTCTATTACCAAACGACAAATGAAGAATGTTAATAATAATACAAATGTCTATTTTTGTCTCCGAAAGCCCGAGCTGTCAAGTTTTATTACAAGTTGTTCGTGACGAAGTCTCCTGTTATTTTTTCCATTAACAAATACGTTATCGCTGTGTGTCTTTGTGTTATTGTTGAACGTGTCTCAGATATATTATAACAATATGTTGGTCCCGATGCATAAGTATTATAATGATTGTGTTCTACCTAAAAGACGCACAGATACGGGCGAGTGTAAATAGCCGTACAGTGGCATTTCATTATTTTCCAAAACGTTGTCGTGATATTTTATACGAGATATTTATTACGGCGTTTTTATCGTTGAAGCAAACGGCTTCTTCGAGTCGTACGCAGTCAACACCGTACTATTGCGCGTGACTAGCGAACATTCTTATACATACAATATACCTATTATAATATTTACATTGTAACAGCGTATTAAAATAAATAATAATATTTTTCCACGGTGTCTCAGATGGTGTTGTTCTTTATTTGTACACGCGTGCGTTTTACCCGATGATGTGTACTCGTGCAATACGATGCACGAGCCTACCATGATTCTTTGATACCTACTGTTTTAGGCGCACGTACCTGCTTTACAATCAACCACAAGGTAAATATAATTATACCAATATAATTATCTGTATTTATCTACGCACATTTATGTGTATATAATATTACACACGGGTAGTGTTATCATTTGCTGCGCGGTTCCTAATAATTTGTTATTTCACGTTACTTGTACGTTATTTTTAATTTGAAATGAGACATGCCTACG